TTCCAGTATTTATGCCAGGTTTTCAACAGTCTCTACCTTCTGTGGTTCACATATAGCCACCCATCTGGCTTCTAGAGGCTGTGTGTGAACCAAGGAGGGACCATTCACCTTACCAAGGAAACCCACACCCTCATGACAGAGAAAGATCACCGCGAAAGCAGGGAACTTAGCTGGAAGGATTGCTAGTTACATCTGGCCTTGAATCTCTGAAACTGTGAACTCCTTGGGTAGACATTTCAATCATGCAGAAATACAGACTGGAAAACTCATTGGCCAGAAGTTTGTATGAAACACACGTTAAATGCCCGGAGTGTAGTGGTTCCTTGTCCCTTGCTTCCTAATAGGATTTCCTTTATTTCAGAGAGTATTCCAGTGAGTTTATGCCATCTTCATATTCTCTTAGACATGTCTCTTATTTCAGAACTGGTATGCCAAAACCCCTCTGGGTAAAAAACGAGCTTTGGCCCTGACAAGGAGTGAAGGAGGAAAAGATAAAGGGAAAAAGAAAGAAAGAAGAGAGAAGAGAAAGTAACATCTTCCTAAAGAACCATCCTTGATTCTCCCTCAGGGAGGGAGGTGGCCCCAACTCTCCAGAGAGAAGACTACTATTGTCTGTCTGAAGAACCATCTTGAGTCTCTCTGAGAGAGAGAATTGGCCCCAACTCTCCAGAGAGAGACTCACCATTACCCATCTGAAGAACCATTTTGAGGCTCTCTCAGGGAGGGAGATGGTCCTAACTCTCCAGAGAGAAGACTCAGTCAGCATTGCCCATCTGAAGACACCTAGGAGAAGACACTTTGAACTGAGCAGCGGTGGGCTGATGCCAGGAGCTCAGTAGCCACTGTATGGCTCATTTGTGCCTTTAACAGGCTGGACATCAGGCTAGTTGCCCATGACAGCTGTTTCTGAAGCTTATTATTGTTTCTTAGTGTACATAAGATTTGTATAAAACCCACATTCACTCTTCACACACTCCATGATCTTTCCAAGTTAGACACTTCATCTCACCAGCACTAATCACCAAATTTAAAATTCAGTGGTTAGAAAATATTGTAATTTGACAACCGGTAAGTAACTTGAGTACATCACCACTGCACTAGCTTTTTATTAATCCATATACACTGTACATTACCTTGCACATATTTTAATAAATTGATTATTTCCTCTATTTAGTATATTGTATATAATAGAATAAAGCTTGTTGTCCTTGAACTGACTTGGTAATTTGG